TTGCAAATATGTACAAAATGCAAATAGGGCGCCTCTGCCTTTGAAGTGTAGGACGGGACTGTAGTCCTAAAGTCCAGTTCCCTGCACTCACAGCAGGACCAAACACCATTCTAGACCATCCCAAGTGTATCTCAAGCTCTCACGCGGATTAAAATCTTCATAAGACCACAGCCGTGTGCTGTCTCGAATATTGTGTGCTCTGTCATAAATTTGATGTCAGTAGCAGAAGTGTGGCTTCCTTTTGGTGTCGTGTCTGATATCATTGCTTGGGCCTGGGATTAAGAAAAGTGAAAATACAGTAATTCAGGCTGCTTTTCTACCTACAATGTGACCTGATAATTCTCAGGATCCTGTATTAAATCCATTTAATGTTACAGTAATTGATTAACGTGTATGCACATACAGTACTGGTGTTGAAAAGATCTTTATAAGACCCTCCTGCGTTGTCCCGCTGGCTTCTTAGAAATGGCTTCATCTTAACAGTTTTCTACTGCTCAGTAGGATGTGATTTCTTGTAACTGGAAACTGTAAAGCTAGAAACTGGAACCAGCAAGATGATGACTAACCAGGAGGGAAATAGTTTTAACATGCCTCTGCTTTGCCAAGGAATATGAAAACAATGAGAGCTTTGTCAAGTCTGTGGGTCAACTAGCCTACTAGTGATATATGATGTTTTTGTAAGCGTGCCACATTTTGCTTTTTTTTTTCCTTTCTTTTAAGTGCTGTTTAGGAGCTGAAATTTGAATTCCCATCTGTTTGCCCAAAAAGTGTTGAACATCACCTTCATGGTTGTGTTGTTCAGTGATCGGACACATCCTGAGTAATATATGTCTCTTGGTCGTCTCTGGCAGGTGTGTTGTATGGCCTTTATTTCATCATTTAGCAGTACAGCTTGTCAGCTAGGAATGTGTACAGCTAGCAATTGCCAGGACAGTTGCGTCCATACACTACAGCTTCTCAACCCTGCAGGAGTCTTTTCCCGTCACTCCGCTGTTTTGCTTCTCTGTAACCCCTTCATCCTTTCTTTCCAGTTCGTCATGACGCACTGTATGCCTTGCCTCTAGCTGTCTAAGGAAACGCTGCAGCACCTCATGTGACAAAGCCCTAGCTGCAATGATTTTGTTGAGGTTGGTCCTGTTTTGGACAGGGGGTTGGACTTGATGACCTCCTGAGGTCTCTTCCAGCCCTAGGATTCTCCAATGTGTAAAACATCGTATCTGCTGGGCCCACACTGTTGAAATCGATGAGCTTCCCTACTTGAAAGCCTTATGGCAAACTGTGTGATAAACCATCTGTCGCTAGTCATCACAACACTCATTTTGTAGTGGGAAGGGGACTGTTCAATGGGAAGTTCAAAGCTTGCGCCGAGGCTTTCAGAAGTAAATGGTGAGTTGAGTCCTCGAAAGAGGCTTAGCTTTGAGTAAGTTTAGAGCAAACCTCTCCTTTGAAATTAAGATGTCTCAAACTGGGTGCCCAAATGACTAGTTACTTCTGGAAAATCTTGGTCTTGAAACTCCAGTATTCCGCCCTCACCTGTACAAAACCCTTCCAAAATCAAAGTTCTTAGTGTTTTCTATGGAGAATTAAGGTGACTTACTGTGAACATAGTCTGCTGTCTTGAAGCCATTTAGAAGTTAATAACTTGCTGAAAATGCAATGAACTAATTAAATGTCTGTAGCACTAATTCCATTGCAGTAGTCATTAATTTTTTTTGTAAAAAGATTGTTTTATAGCTAGTCCAACAGAGAATTTCACATGCCCATTTCAGCCTGTTGGCACTACTGCTGATTTGTTTTTCATATGGATGGAAGACTGCCACACAGGTTAAATGCGTGGTTAACCTGAGACCAGAAATCCTGGAGAAGCACAGGCACTTGGTTTTACCCCTTCCAAAAATAGCATCCTGCTCTCCTTGAACTATTTTTGCACTGCTCTCTTTTTAGTGCTGCCTTGTAAATTTGTTCTGGGTTGAATTTCAACTAGTGGTGACATACACAGAGGGATAGTTATATCAGGGGTGGCCAACCTGTGGCTCCAGAGCCACATGCGGCTCTTCAGAAGTTAATATGCGGCTCCTTACTTAGGTACCAAATCCAGGGCTGGAGCTACAGGTGCCAACTTTCCACTGGGCTGGAGGTTGCTCACTGTTCAGCCCCCAGCTCTGCTCTAGGCGCTGTCCCCCTCAACCCATTCCCCCTAGGATCTTGCCACTTCCTACCCTCTCCCCTGAGCCTGTCACACCCATGATCCCCCCTCCTCCAGTGTCTCCCACAGAGAGCTGATCACAGTGGGCAGGGGGAAAAGGAGAAGGAGGCACTGACCAGTGGGGCTGAGAGTGGTGGTTGGGAGATGATCAGGGCTGGTGACCTGTTACTGTTGCTCTTTGACAATGTGCATTGGTATATTCTGGCTCCTTCTCAGGTTTAGGTTGTCCATCCCTGCCTTAGAGTATTCAATTATGTCTGTAATGCAATAAGTTATTTGATTCTGTGATGCATTTTTTTAATAAACTCTATCTGAACAGCTAACATTTCTCTACCTTCACTTCAGCCCATGATATCCTGTGTAGTGAGTTAGATGTTCCTTCTTATATTTTAATTGCTTTTCACAGTATGGAACCTGTCCAAGATGATAGGTTGATAATACAAGCTGAGAGCCATAAAGGAACATATTGCCTGTTTTTCAACCTTCAATCTTTGCACATTCCAAAAACTTGACAATAAGCTTGACATTTTCCCAAAAACCTACACAAAACTTTAAGGTTAAACTTCTGTGTTTAGGATATTGCTTCTCTGCTGATTGGAGGTTGGTGAGTGAGAAGAAATATAAATGAAATCAATTGGCCAGGAGTGTCAGGTGGCTCCTCAGTAGCCAGGGGTCTGATCTAGAAAGGGGAATGCTGTGTTCTGCCTGTGTGAATGTCTAGTAAGACACAAGCTGACAATCCTAGTCAGACTTGATCTTGGTTCTGTGTCACAAGACATTTGCTCTCATTACTTTTGAGAAATTTGGAGCTAAACAGATCCAGTAAAATCCTAAAACACGCTTCAAGTTACTCACGTGAGGAATCCTACCCACTTCAGTGAGATTAAAGTAATGCAAGAGCTTTAAAAATTCAAGGGTGAAATCCTCCAGGCCGCACTGAAGTGTTCTGGAATCTTTCCATTAAACTCAGTGGATCAGGATTTCATCTGAAATTGGTTAGTCTTTCAGAAGACTATAAATGGCAAAAACCATTACTCATTGTGTTCATACGGGTGTCAGTGCCAACCTTTAGGTTTTTAACAGTCCCAGGCAGTACAACTGTATTGGAAACAGAGTTGAGGGTAAAAGGATGCATTCTGACAGGCAATGAGGTGAGGAAAGGATGATTTGAGGAGGAGAAAACTAGACTCTGTTGAGGGGAATCTGTGCAGTGGGACATTTTTCTAATAGCTACTGCTAAGTAGATCTAATTAAATAACCGATGGCAAATTTAGTAGACTAAATCCATCCTTTCATTTCTGATTGTGGCTGGTTTACAATCAGATCTATTTTTGTCTCAAATTTATTTGTTAAACAAGTAGATTCTTGATCTGTAACTTGTTCATAAACCATTTTTTGGCAAGTAGTTAATTGAAATTTAAACCATTTCTAATAGGCATATTGGTCATATAGAATTGTTCAATTTCCTGCCTGGGTGGACTCTAAGGAGCAATTTCTGATTCAAAATACTTTCAATTATCAATTTGAAATCTGCCTAGAAGGCAGATTTGCTTTTTTCAATGGATATTCCTGCCAGTAAATTAGAATGCCTGTGAATGTTCGCAGGCAGTGAGCACAAAAAGGGATGCGAATGCAGTCAAACTAAATTTATTTAGCAACTCTGATGGGTACTATTGGAAAACTTTTTTGGGGGTATTTGCCAATCCCAGCTCTAGGGCTAGAAGGCTCAGATGGTGTTAGCCTAAATAAGGGAAAGGTTTAACTAAACGAGTAGGAAAACTAGAACAAAAGAGTAGGAAATAGTACAGGAGGCGCTTGTAGAACTAGTATAATTTCTTCCTATTAACTTAAAGAGGAAAAAGTTCCTATCAAACTGCTACAGTTGAAATCAGCAGAAAATCTCAAGTTAGACCTCTTTTGATGCAAATATGGGATTAGTTAGAAGAGCATTCTCTGTGAGGGCCCCACAACTTTGGAAGCTGCTCCTTGCAGAGTTGCCAACTTGCATTTTTATCATGAGTCACAGTCCCTGGAGTCATGTGATTAGGTGAGGATCTCAATTTTCATTTAAAGAAAAAAGTGAATGTCTAGTCCCCAGGATTGTTGAGGAAAGCTTGAAAATATGACTCAATAGCATTCTAGAGTCCCAAAAGTAGAAAGCAAGCAGAAAATACAGCTTCCCTTACCCCCTTTTAAAGTAGATTTCAACTCATGGTTTTCTTTAGAGGTCTGATTTGTGATGTGAGAACTCCTGTGGTAATAGTACTGTCTTGTTGGTTGTTGTTCAAAATAGCCTGAATCTAAAGACCATTTTGGAATGTTTCAAAGTTTAACTCTTTGCCCCGCCTCCCTTTTCCCA